CTATGTCGTGGGTTGGTTGTTTGTTGAAAGGGGGATGAGACCCGAATGTATCTGGGCATGACAGACATGATCCAAGTGTTGGTTGTAGTGATCCGGACAATGATGGCGGTTTCTTTGCGATGTGACAAAGTGTGGCAAAAGAAGGCGCTCACGACCCAACGACAACACCGAGCTCGAGTAATAGCCGGACGAACCGGCTGTGCATCTCGATGAAGAAGTCCGGGAGGCCGACCAACTCGGCGAGCCCTCTCGGCTTGAGAGCGGCGCCAGAGCCGCCAAAGCCGCCACCCATCCGCCTCGAGAGACCACCGCCACCCATCAGGAAGCTGCTGCCTCCAGCCGAGGCCGGCGGGGCGGGCAAATCCGATTGGAAGCTCCCGTAGCCGGGTCCGGCGACGACCGGACTGCTTGCTGACGAGCCCGATGACTCAGTGAGGGTGCGTTCCGCCTCAGCCTCCGCCAGGGTTTGTATCCACGCTGCCATGTCGCGGAAGGCAGCGGCAACAAACGCAAACGTCTTCATGGCCAGGCGTTCGCGGTGAGTGCTGAGCGCTAAGAAAGCGTACACACGCTTGTGCCCACGTGCGTGGATGTCCGGAATGCGGAATATGTAAGCTGTTGTGTAGCCTGCAGCGGGATCTCCGAAAAAGATGGGACCGCCAGACGCGGCAGATCCGGCGCTGTGCGTGGTGACAAATGCGGGAGTAATTGGCGAGGCGCTTGGCGTGGACATCGAGCTTCCAGCCGCCGGGGTCCCTGTTGCCGGGGCTCGCGGAAGAGTCTCCAGCGAAAGCGTGCGCAGGCAGGATGCGCGCACGATGGAGAACGAGGCCGGGGTCAGCGGTTCGTGTGTGGAGGTGTAATCTAGGTAGTGTGTATGAGCGCCGGCGCCAGCGACGGAGCTAGTGCTAGACCGCGACGCGACGGAGGCCGTCGTAGCGGTGCGCCGGTGGTTTTGGCGCTGACCAGCGATGGATTCGTCTTCTGACGGACTCGAGGACGAGGTTTGCGACGAGGATGGCGAGTTGCTGTCAGTTCCCCCGAATACGCGAGCGCATGGCGCTCTGGTTCGGAGAGTAGGGCCGCGCTCAGATCGGGAGTCGGCCCCGATGTCCCTGTCGCCTTCCTGGCGCTTTGGTAGCGTTAAGGCGCAGTTCTCGCATGGCCCGGCGCGCCGGGTGACGTATTCATCGTATGTCCTCCGAAACTCGCCTCGGGGTTTTTGCTGAGTCGGAAGGCCAGGACCTTGAGGGAGTCGCGGGCTCTGGGGGGGGGTCTCGACCGCGGATCCGGAAGCGGCATGTTGGGCGGCCCGTCGCAAAGCGGCGCGGTACGTCTGCGCTTCTTGTTCTGAGGCGGGAAGGGAGGAGCTCCGTTGCGCGCCGGCAAAGTTGAGACGTCTGAGCGCTTCCGTGATGTTGGCGCTTTGCGCCGACTCCTTCGGCGTTCGGGTGCTGGTGCGCGGCCGGTCGGAATTGGCAAGAGGATAATCGCGAACGTCGTCTTCGCAGCAGCTGCTGCAGGGCACAGGAAGACCCTCGGTGACCATCAACGGAGTGGGACCATGAAGGTCGCAATAGTGCGCGAGGCACAGCTGAAAAGTAGGTGGCGTTAGCATCACATCGTTGTCGAGGAGGTCGTCAGCCATGTTGGGCCGCTCGCGTGCGTGGGCAGGGAAGATGCATCGAGTGGAATCCGAACATGCCGTGCCATGATGGCTCCCGGCGGAAGCCAAGGGGTAGAAGAGCTCCGCGATGGTGCCCATGATTGCGAAACCTCGCTGGAATGCGGAAAGGAAACACGGAAGCGTTGGTGATGGGAGGTCTGGTCAGACCAGCGCCGTTTGAGCCATCAATATCAATGAAACACCAGCACGTGGTGAGCTGGCTGACGGCCTGGGCACTAAGGACCCCCTGGAGTCCCAGGGCTCGCAATGTGGGGGTTCGCCAGACAAGGCGGTGTGCGGGTTGGGTTGCATTGGGGGCATGCGCGGGATGGGCAGACGCAGCAAAAGCAGCAGGAGCACCTCAGCTAGAAGCAGCCAGAAGCAGCAGCGATTGTGCATTGGAGCGTCCGCCATTCATCATCCTTCCTTCTCAGCCATGGGGGTTCAACTTACAATCGACGTCATGTTTCTTTTTATCTTATCCGCGATCCGCGAAATCCGCGGAAGCAGCCCAAACGTCCGTCCGTCTGCTCACCCCACGATCAATCACGATCAATCGCCGAATCTGATCTGGGCCTGTCGAAGTGTGTCGCAATTGGGCACCAGGCGAGATGCGACAGGTCGCAAATGGAATTGCTGAGGACCTCCGCCGCAATGCCTTACTGCTGCAACCCGTCAGAACGGCGCACTGCTGTCGGTCGAGGCCCGCCCGTAAAAAATGCACTCTCGGTTGCGAGTTTTGGTTGTTGAGAGTCGAAGTTAGATGCTGTCAACTTCAAGCAGCTGACTGGGTCCCTGGCTTTCCGGCGGGTATGGCACCACCTCGTTCTGCCGAGGTTCGAGCTCGGAATTCGGGCAGAGGAGGCCCTCGTCAACGGCAAAAGCAAAAGTCTCGGGACATGGCTTCTGGTTTCGAGAGGGTAAAAGGGTTGTTTTGCAAGTCCTGATTTTTGCAACGCTCACAGCACGGTGAACGTCAAGCGAATGAGTAACGAATAATTACACAACAGCAGATGTGGGATGCAGGGCTGATGGCTTTCCTTTAAAAGAATGCTTCGAGAAGAGCCGATGTGAGTGCGGCCATACCAAATATGGGCTGTTGCCGGCCTTCCGACCATGATCCTAGAAACTCGGGGAGGGATGGGGTGAAGCTGAGACGCCGTAATGTTGCCGAAATGGTAGTCCAGCTCCTTATTGCTCCTTTGGCGGTAAGATGGGGTCAAGATGACATCGGGCCACCTCGTCTTACCTTTGATCCCCTCTCTTACGCTCCTTTCGTCTCGTTTGGTCTCGTCACTCGTGGCCGAGCGTCGGGACAACTCGCAAGATTAGGTTTGTCGCCAGAAGCCAGGCACTGAGAAGTCGACCGGAGAACGCAATTGGCGGGACTTTAGGTGAAGTTGTGGATGCCGCTGCGGGACATTGGGCCTTCTCCCGGCTGGCCGCTCTTCTCTTTTCATCCACATGCGTCTAGATGCACCCCGCAACGTCCCGACAGCTCACCCGCGCTTCGCGCTACCAGGCTACCTACCGCCGTCTCACATTCCATCGCCAATACAATATTAACTTGGTGTGACGGAAAAGGCTTCACCTTCTTCATCACACGCCATTCTCTGGCCTGTGGTCGCCGGTTGCACACGTGCACAACAGCCTACCGACACCCAGGGCTACATCTCCCGCGAGCCACGTTGACAAGCCAATGCCCAGACGATGCCGGGTCGCGGACTTCTTGCATGGCCAGACACGCGAGCGCACTCACCTAATAATCCGATAATCGCGGTGGAAAATCATCTACCCGTGCTGCCCCATGCTGCATGAACTGACTCTCGCGGCTTCCATCTGACAGGATTCGCATCCGAAGATCAGGATACGCCTGCATCCGACAGCATGCCAGCTTCGATGCAGCGCACAATCAACACCTCCCAGGTTTGCGTGGACGACTGACGACTCCCTGCACCCAAGCCGGGCTCGAAAGAGCGGCACTTCCGAATCCAATTTCCATCAATTTGCACTTTCTGCAGCTACACCGCGACCTGCTGCCCGTTACGCTCCCGTCAGAAGGCAGTGGGGCGTGCTCGTCCCTTACCCACGGGCACATGGCGGCCACGCGGAAAGCGGGCCATGTTCAACCCTGGTCCAGATACCGAAGCACTCGCCCGCGGTCGTCCTCGGCCTGACGGACGTCGTGCTTGGCCTCGGCCAGTCACAATCTAATTCAAGACGCCTGACGGCAGCGCAACCAGGGAACGGGCGTTCTCCTGATGACAGACGCATCCGACCAACATTGAAAACAGGCAGTATCGCCAACCACGTTGCAAATTTAGCCATTGCGGTCCGACGTTGCCTTCCGCTGCCGGCGCCATACGCCATGTTACACCTTGACATCGCTCCCTGACGCTAAGGAGACGGGCAAAACTCCTCTGCGATACAACACTGCTGCTTCCATCATATAACACCGATACAAGTTGTGCACCATGGCTGCCAACGAACGCCAATTGCACATCACGCATTTGGCAGCATCCACACCCGGACCACGCTAGCCACCGAACGTCCGTGTGCTCAATGGAAACCGGTGTCAGTGCACCGGCCATCTTTTCTTCCATAGCTTCCAGAAGCCTTCTCATCTCCCCATGGCTCGGCTGTAGCCAGCTATGTGTCCGAGCGGACGATCAAGCTTTCTCAGAAGCCAAGGAAGTCCCAGGAACCTCACACAGATCACGAATGCCCACCATCGCAACGTCGGACGAACATTCCACGAATATTAGCGGACGCCCGCAGATCCGCTGCCGGCTTCCGGCCGCGCAAGCATTCCCTCCTGCCCTGATCCCCATCACGATCATCCTGGCAAGAAAAAAAAGTCAGAGCCATCAGATGGTCCGTCGTCCCGAACCTGACTGCAGAGACGTTGCGGTTGTCGGAGGTCGTTACTCAGTACCACACTGCCGTCAACGCTACCGTCGTATTCCCCTTTCTATCCGACTGCAATCAGTGTCCCTCCAAACCTGGATTCAGGAATCAACTTCACCCGAACAGCCGTCGAACCCCTGGGGAAATGGCTCAGACCTGGACCGCTTCCGCCCATCTCCCACCAATAACCACTTTCACAATACAACCAGAAATGAAAAGCCGGAAACCTGCCGATTTGCCCGCTAGTCTGTCTCCATCTGTAGCCGACGTTCCCAACGTTGGATGAGCGAAAGCTAGCACTAGTCCCGTACGAACGAACCAACCATGATCGTCCGCGCCGAACGGCGTTCCATGGAACCGCCATGGACTAAAAAGGACAACTCTCCAGCTCTGATTGCATGAACAAACTGCAGAATGATGGGATGATCGATCCACCCAGGGGTCGAACCTGGAACCTCCTGATGACATTTCCAGTACGAGACTTGAGTCAAGACTGAGTGAATATCGTAGTCAGACGCTCTGCCATTGAGCCAGCGGACCTTGATCATTTGATGGGGAGAGCAGGGGAGTCGTTTGCACTGTGAAACCGGGTCCTGCTTGGTTGAGAGAGTTGCGGTGAGAGATTTTGTTTCTGTGGGTTGTGCGTGGAGAGCAAGTGGATCGTGAGCGGTGGGTTTCGACTAAAAGCTCGGAATGCACACCCGTTGGGGAGTTAGCTTTGGTGTCGGTGGATTTTGGGAGAGAGAAGTCAGTGTCGATGGTGATATAGTTTCGTAGGTGTTGAGATCGACTTAGCTATCCATTCATCCGACCGCAGGTTAGATAGAGCATCCTGTGAAGATGGGAGATCCGCGGTTTCGTATCTGCTAAGAGGTACGGATCACGTCTGTCTGATATTGAAGGCTCAACAGCCTAGTGACCGACCCGGAGTACGCCCAGGAGCGGCACGAAAGGAGAAGAGACAGAACATCAAGTACAATAGCGGCGTGCATCAAGCCAGGAAAAGTCTGCGAATGCTTTCTCACGAAATATCTTTGTTGCTATGCCCACGATGATCCTGTATAAAGCCTACATTCCCAATCAAACCCTGAGAGTAGTGGTAACTACAAGTCCCGCAATGTTTACGATGTCCTCCGTGTACTGCTCTTTCCTAGGCAAGAGGGTAAAACAAAAAACGCCGGTCAACATGCAGTGAGCCATCCATATAACGAACCGAACGGTAGTGCTAGAAGAAGGCAGAAAAGGTATGTGATCGGGTATCTTAAGCATCCTCAATACCAACCGGTAAGAAGCACTGGATGAAGCCAATGCGTAGCCCTTCCTTCGCTGGTGTACTTCCTCCTCCGCGAAAACAAGGCTGGAATAAAATACGTAGTGTGAAATGGGTGGGACGGAATGGAAGATTTGAATACACGCGATGTGAGATGCTGACGGAGAGATATGGTGTCCGAGTGAGCAGGCTCAGGTCTCAACAAACGGATCGACTTCAAGTCGCTTTGCGGCCGGCTCGCCGCCCTCGCCGCCACCGCTACCGTACTTGTCCTGCCAGAGTTTGCGGAGCACTTGGTAGATGAAAAGGTACTGTGCCTCGGCCTGCACCATGTTCCTGCGTTGTTCGCGTAGTTGGTTGACAGTTGCAAAGATGAGATCCTCGCCCTCTTCCTCGATGACAGTAGTCGCTGGGGAAGCCTCGCCGCCGCGCTTCGTGACCTCGTCGAAAGCTCCGCTGGAAGTGGCAGTGCTTGGACTTGCGCGAAATGATCTCTCGTCCGCACTCCTCCTTCCACCTGGTGTCGCGGCCCTCTCATCATAGTGCTCCAGGACGCCGGCATCCAGTTCTCGGATGAGATGTTCCAGCGCGATGAACGTACCACTGCGACCAACGCCAGCGCTGCAATGCACAATGCGTGGGTTATGTGGGCCGGCATTCTTCTCCCGGGAGAGCCGCATCAGGGTGAAAAAGCTCTCGAGATCAGCGAGGGCCGGAACGCCAAAGTCGGGCCACTTCTTGTAGAGGAAGTGCCACACAATGCGCTCTTCCTCCTGCTCGACTACCGATTCCTCTGGCTGGGTCGGGGCTTCTGTAATAACAACCTCCGGGACGGGCTGGTCGGCGGCAACCAAGCCGGGAGATTTCATGTGGACATCCAGGTCTAAATCTTTTTCGGTTGAGGCTCCAGGAGTGAGAACAGGAATGTCGAGGCTACTGCTGCTATCAGCTGCCGCAGGTTGAGGTTTGCTTCCACCGCGCGCATGTATGCGAACCACCAACTTGCGCAACTCGATTGCGTCACCAGCCGGTGTCTCCTCGATTCCCTCGCAGCGCACGGTGGCGCGGAAGCCGTCACCGAACTCATCGCGTTCATTGATCTCGAGTGGCGGATCCTCCTTATGGCGCGGGAAGTACGGAGAGCACTTCTCCATATGTCCCTCGTGGGTCTCGGTCAACATGACAATGACGCCTGGACTCTCGAGTTGTTCGACCACCATCCGCCATACATGGTCAATGGAGGATGCTTTGGGGCCTTGCATGGCGATGTAGCGGTCGGACTCGCGCGCCTCGCCGGGCCTGGAGTCGTTGGCTGGTCGCGGCGAAGGGGTGAGTGTGATGGGTGATGCGTTGATATAGTCTACATGGCCGTCGGGAACCTGTAGCTTGACTCGATGGTTCTGCCATGGCTGGATATTGACGTAACGATCCAAGGTCTTGAGGTGCGGTCCCTTCACACGTGCCCAGCGAAAATCGGGCGAGTTGTTGGTGACAGCTTGCGCCATGCGGTCGCGCTCTAGCCAAACCAAGTCGCCGAACTTGTTCTCGATCTCTGAAATGTGAACAGTCACTTGTCAGAAATATGTGGTACGACATAGCGGAGGATAACAACTCACCTTGCTGACTGAGCTCCAGGAAAGCGGGAATCTTCAGAGCCCTCGCCGCCTTTGCGTCATCCTCCCGCGCGGGGTCCGTCCTCAGCGATAGTGGGGATACGGGGCGGTCGATGCCACCATCGGGGCCTGGGACGGCAGCAGCGGCCGGGGAGTGTGGCAACGATGCGGGCGGAGAGTCCCGTGCCCGCTTACCGGACGAACGGTGAAAGACTCGAAAGGGACTAAGCTTTTGCACTGGGCGCGCCGGCGCGGCAGGCTGGAGATCGCCAGACGGAGGCGTCGTCGTCGTCTTGTTGGGGAGGGCAGCGGTAATTATTGTCGGCGATGGCACATCCTTCCTGCGGCGGAAGCGCGGAAAGTGGTCCATCCAGGCGGCTTCGAGGTGCGGTGCGCTGCGCAATGCCCAGCGACGGCGCACAATTATGGAGTAGTTCCGCAGATTTTTTTTTCCGGCTTCGGTTTACGTTTCCCAAGCTCGAATGTTTGTTGCGAGGGGCTGTGATGGTTGTAAGGTGGGTGGAGGTGAGGTAGATAGATGGAGGGGTAGGAGAATCGAGGGATCGATATCAGCCGAGAGCCCCTCGTTATAAGACAAGGCAATTTTCAAACACTCCCTCAGATTCCGGGGCACGTGCAGAGTTTGCAAATGGACTCCCGAGGCCTGGATGATGCACAGCTGATATCAGGCCAGTGACTTGTGGCCCTCCCGGTCGGATGGAAGACCGCAGCAAGGTTGAGATGGAAAGGAACCGATCGGTCGAGGGGTGAGGCCTGTGGTCCGACGGGAAGGCCTTACCTATTATCTAGGCGCGTGAACCCCTGCCCTGACGGTTGGCGACCAGAAGGCGCTTTGGAATGCGGGAAAGCGGCGGTAACTCGGCCGCCTAGTTGTTGGTCGCGGGAAGTGAACACTGCAAAACCCGCACGCGAAGGATGAAGATGGGAAACAAGCCTACGAGGGAAAAAAGATAAAATCCGGCTCCAGCACAACTTAGCGCCGCGACAGGGCGTTCCCGGAAGGGGTATGGTTCGCTGCAGCAATGCTGCGGGAAGGCAGGTCAAGATGGCTTCCAAATGGCCCGCTACCCCCTGTGCCCCCCCAAACTTCCCGCTGTCTGGGACGGGTCCCGGGAATTGGAGGGGGGCCCACCCGAACATGCCTGTCCAGTGTCGTCCCCTTTGCTTAGTGCCCGTCCCTGAGGATCCCACGTTCCCACATGGAATCTCTTTTCCGCCTGACTTCGTTCTCAGCCCCGCGAAACGCTGTTCCTGCACCTCTCATACGACGCCTGTTTGGACCCAGGGAAAGCCTATTGGGGCGCCGTGGCGAGCGATAATCAGCACCGTTGGATGACGGCGCCAGCTAACAATCGTCTGTCATGCACCGTATCCAAAAATACACATATTCTCTTGGGACCGTTCTCCTGCCCTACGTACAATCGTTGTCGGCCTGAGAAACCTGAAGACGGGACTTTTGCAGTCCTGTTTCGCTACCAAAATGCAGTGACCACCGTGAGCCTTCAAACCTGAGGTATCCGTCGAGAAGAATTCTGGTCTTCATGACTTGTCTGCGTACCCTCCAGCGCGCTTGGCACTTCCACCACCCAAGATATTTTGGTAACAATCGACAGCCTCACACTGCTATCGTTATGGTGAATATTCCATTCCACCTTGGAATGATAAACAGTACTTCAGTATGATGCATCTCCAATCCAGAGCGACCCCCGTAAAAACACATTGTTCTTCTTCCTCTGTCAAAGCATTGCTGTCGACCTGCTGAAGGAGATTCCTCATCCTAACAAAAAATATCTATCAAGGATATCCAAAGGCATTTTAAGGCTCCCGCCTATTTTGGGAGATGCGAAGAGAGCGGTAGGCACTCCGAACAATTTGGGTTTGAGCGTGCTGAAGAGTCTGGAATTATCGAGATCAAAGGAGAATTCCGAGGTCGAGAAACGGAGCAGGAGATCGTGGTGATTCAGGTGGAGGTGTCTAAAACTTCCGAGTCGTTGAGGACGAATGTGATGGCCCCCTTCCCCCAGGATGCGAAGACGCGACAACCTGAAGGAGACTGCGACAAGGGGAAGATGATAACCTCAGTAGTGAGGTGGCCGATTGTGGGGATGCCAATGACACGGGCGGGGAGCCTGAGATTGGTGATCTTTTAGGTAAGAATTAGTACCAGACGAGGCCATGAACGAGGGGTTCTGCTGGACATGGAGGTAACGATGCTGCGATTTCCACCGAGATCAACAGCCCGTGTCTACGACGCGAGCCAATATCTGGCATGACGCCCAAGAAGATTTCGATGTTCCATTTGTGATGATGGGGGTTGTCACTGCCATCCATAATCGTACATATACTTACAATCTTACATTTTTAACGCCGACACGCTCCATTTCGTACAATATGCCCATCCAATACTCCGGAGTCCGGACTGACCACTGTTGGCTGGCTCTGGCGCATCACACCCAACACTCCCTTCAAACACCGGAGAAAATCCCCGTGACCTGCCTTCCACAGGTCACGCGCTGCTCTACACTCACCTTTCTCCCGGATCCTCCTTCACCCAGACGGACTGTCTGCCTTGGTGTAATCTGCATACGTGTGGACTCTCCCAGCTCCCCTCCATCAAGCGGTGCAATGTACGTCGG